ATGATGACCTGCAATTTTTGAAACTGGGTAACCTCTGTCTGTGAGCTTCTAGTCAGTTTTCAATAGTTAGGACTGCATTTTCAGCTGCTTTCCGGAGCACGAGTCTGCTGCGGTACAAGGGTCGTTCAAAGCGCTGTTAGTCTCGCATGGTTTTGTCCTTCAAAAATTTTAGCCACCGTTTTATTAGATGACCATCATGTTGTACTCATCCTCGCCGACACTTTGCCATGTGTCATTTCCGACCTGACCATTCCCATTACTCGTGAAGCAGAGAGTTTCTCAGCCGACCCGAGTATGCGACCTCCATTTTCATGCCTGATCCATGGTCAGAGGTGAACCCTTTTTGTGAGCTCATGAAGGGTCGAATGCGCTTGAAAACAATGAAGCTGCTTGAGGAAGGTTGTTACCAATGCCCATGCAAAATTTCGACTGTTAATTTCATGTTGATTCAGAATTATTGACAAAAAAGCATGGCTGGTACCTGTAAGCGAACTTTTGAGACACCCTGTACATTATTGGCCTCGCGTACCCCTTGTGTATTTGTCAACCGACTCCGTGTGACGTATGTTTGCTGTGACCTGACTCGTGTGACTCCGATGACCTAACTGACCCAAATGATCTCTTTCGTCGGCAGGCCAACATTCACCGGCAGTTCGGCAAGCCGCAGGGCGACCGGCGCATCTACGAGTGTCTGTTCTGCATGAGAGGGTTCCACAACATCGGCACCCTGCACAAACACTTTCGGTGCAAGACGCACATCATGGGACTGGAGAACGCCGGCTGGCTGCCGTGCGGCACGTACGCCGAGCTGGAGGCGCTCGGCGTGCCCGGCAGGACAGACGGCGCGGACAGCATCAACGTGGAGGGCACCTGGCCCAACTACTGCCATCTGCAGGTGAGAAAACGAACAAGTAGTAACGCCAGTTGCCTATAGGCGGTGGGAGAGAAAAAACTCGAATCGGGTGCGACGTATTGTTGCGCCGCTGGGCGACGTGTAATTCGGCGTTTTTTCGCCGATACGATCGCTGTTTTGGGGAAATAGCCTTGGAGCGGCGGCCGGTTCCGCGGCGCTCGGCCCGCTCGGTAATAGGCGAATCACGATTTTCTTTCCCGAGAACCGTCCGTCGCCCCGCCCGGCGCCGGTGTTGTGGCCCGTTCGTGACACACTGCCAGTTCGGTGGCTTGTTTTTGGGGACGGTGACGCGCCGGAGACATTCCCCGCGGCTGGAAAGTCATGTGAAGCCCGGCAGCGGGTGTACGGGTGACGGGAGCTCTGGAGCTCCTACACGACTGAACACAGGCAGCGTCCAATAGTCACGACTGTATGTGGGACAGCCCGGTGGCGGACTGTTAGTTACTGTTACAGTCAAGGCCAGCTTCCAGTCGGTGGCAAATAGTGGGTCGAGCCGGAGCGTGTTTCATCCAGTGTCAGAAAAGTTGTGTGCTAGTCTTGGATGGAATCTATGTAGGCCGTGTTTGTAAGGGAAATCGGACAAAGACTAGGGAGATACGATTGACGGAGTAAATGAATGAAGGAATCAACTGATCGATCAATGAATGAATGGATCAATGAATCAATGAGCTAGGCATTCAAAGCTTGTTATAGCTTTGGGAATAAGATTTTGAGGCGTAACATGGCGAATGAAAAGGATAACTTGACGGTAACAGTAGTAACATTTTCAAGCGAGGTGTTGCCCCTCCCAGTATTCGCGCCTGATTTTGGTCTCAGCCGTGCGTCAGGAGACAATACCACGTGTTATTCCGTTGTCCCAATCCGTTTAGCTGGCGGGCAATGGACTGACTGCGGTCCCTGGTCGCCGGATGTGGTCGTGTCGGCCTTCGCTGTGGACACTCGGTAATCTCGGACCGGCTCGGGCAGACCGACCTGCTGCGTGACGTCGCCTGGCTCCGGCCCTACCAAGTGACCTGACCTGACCCAGACAGGAGCTGCCTGACTCCTGACCTGACATGACCCGGCAGGAGTTGTATCTGACCCCTGACCTGACCTCGACGGAGCTGTATCTGACCCCTGATCTCTGATCTGACCCGGCAGGAGCTGTATCTGACCCCTGACCTCTGACCTGACCTCGGCAGAAGCTGTATCTGACCCCTGACCTCTGACCTGACCCGGCAGGAGCTGTATCTGACCCCTGACCTCTGACCTGACCCGGCAGGAGCTGTATCTGACCCCTGACCTGACCTCGACGGAGCTGTATCTGACCCTTGACCTCTGACCTGACCCGGCAGGAGCTGTATCTGACCCCTGATCTCTGACCTGACCCGGCAGGAGCTGTATCTGACCCCTGACCTGACCCGGCAGGAGCTGTATCTGACCCCTGACCTCTGACCTGACCTCGGCAGGAGCTGTCGCTGACACTGCTGCAGCGGGACCGGCACGCCGAGATGGCCGACTGGCGGCGCAAGTTTGACGATATCCGGCGCGGCCGGCCACCGCGCAGCTACCCGTTCGAGATCGACCCCAAGCTGCGCGGCAACGCCGACCCGAGCCGGCCGCGGCCGCAGTTCCCGGCCGACTTTTTCCGTGCACCGCCGGCCAACGGCACAAACGAGAGTACAAACGCCGCCCAGCGGCTCACATATCGGTCGGCGAGCGCAGCCGGCGGCGGGGGCGGGGGCGGCCTCTGCGCGCCGCTCAAACAGGAACAGGCCGACGAGGAGCCGACGGAGCCGCTCCGGCTGAACGGACAGGTGAGAGGGAGGGACGGAGGGAGGGAGGGAGAGTCAGGGGTCGAGGGAGACAGTTCGGGTGCTCTCCTCACCCGAACGGGAACGGTTAGGTAGAGGAGTTCAGTGAGGTGGAAGAGACGGTGAGGCTTAGGAATGGGAGCAGGGGTTAGCTTAGGTAGCGAAAGTAGATTATACGGGTGGATGACTAGGTGAGTGTCAGTTTTAACCGCCGTCATCGCCCGGCTTGGTGGTTGAAGGCCAGTAGCGGCAAAACACCTTCAATTAAGGGGAGGGGTTGCTGCCGACTTTTGGTCCCACTCTTTCCATTCAACGCCCATAGGGCTAATGTTGAAATGGCCAAATCAAGGGGGCACGGTGCCCCGGTGCCCGCCCCGTTCCGCCGCCTATGTTGAAGGCCACTTGACAATTCACTTGAGTCACTGCTCGTCGCTAGCGCCACTGCTAGTTTCTGCTAGACACTGATACCACTGTTTATTTGTCGCAAACATGCATGTGGTAATCGTCAATAGAGGTACTAATTCGCCGAAGGCCTGCGGGCGTCGCCTGCTTGTCAGCGCCCCTTGCCAACACAAACAGGGATCGAATTCGGTCTCACATCGGCCGAGTGTCACCGGCTCTGTGTGGCCACAAACGAATTGGGATGTCGGCACGAACGATTCGTTAGAAATGGGGCGCTCTCGGCGACCGAGTATCCAAAATATACCCTGGTGTCAACTGGAGAATTCTCACTTATTTGAATGTTCAACGAAAAGAAGTAACGCTCAGCACTTGTCATTGTTTGTGACTGTCTGGTTGTTGACAACCTCATTAGTTGAGTTCTTGGGCCTCGCAGACGAAAAATCTACCACACCATATATGGTTATACTCGGTATCGCTCGACTTGCATTGTGTAACGTTTCATTGCTCGTGTAACAGCGGCTGTTTGTTCGGGCGGTTCTAGTTGACGGACTGGTGTGTTTCTGTGTCTTTACAGAGCTACTGAGATGGGGACCTGCTGATCTCGGGGCGCCGAGAACCAGAAGACTTTCCGATATTGTTATAGCACGGGGCTCACTGTGGCCCACAGGCGAGCCACGTTCAAAGCTGCGCGCCCGCGCTCGCCGCGCCTGGTGCCTTATGATGCGGCGGCGCGGCTGGCTCGCCGGCGCCTGCCGTGCGCTGGCGTTTGTGTGTATAGCTGTGTGGGCGCGGCGGTGGCGCGCGCCCCTCGAGTATGTGATATGGGTGGACGGGACGTGCCGGTTTTGTGGCGCTGCGCCGCGCTGTGAGCGGTGCGCGCCGGGCGGCGGCGGGCGGCTCACCGCCAGGGTAAGCGCCGCCCGTTTACGGAGCCGGCCGGCGGGTATGTGGGCCCGCCCCAGGCGCCATTTGGAGTGATGCACGCCATACGACACGAGGATGCTGGTACAAATGTCTGTCGCGCTCACTGTGTTAATAATATGAGGAAAGTGACCTGTTGATGGCTGTTTTTGTTCTGAAACGAAATGCGGGCGAATGCTGAAGCAAAGTGGGGTTTCGTTATACAGCAAGGCTGAGAGGATCCACGGCCGATCTCGCGTAATGACAACTAGCAGGGTCCACGATCCTCGCCGGGGATTAAGTATTGTACAATGGCTGTAAAGCCAACTACTCTCATGCATCTCGTATATTTAAAACGTAAGTGGCACGTCGAATTATGGAAATGAGTGTCAATATGCCAAATAGGATGGTTCGCTGAAAACAAAAGCAATGTCAATTATAGCACCTAGCTTGTCCATTTGTAGACATATGACGGAGCGGCCGCTGAAATGTGCTCGGATCAGAATGAAGTACCCACTCTGCGCCCATCTGGGTAAGCGCATAATGTCAGGAAAGGTTAGGAGGCTTGACTGGAGTCTGGGGTCGAAATACGTGATGGAGGTGCTGTACAATACTGAGGTCATCTTTTGTCCGAATGAACGCCAAAAGCGTATGACTGGCCCAGGGTATATTGAGTGAAGGCTCGGCCGGCTGGCTTTATAATCAAATTACCGTGTAATGGCCAATTAGCAACAATGACGACGGTGTGCGCAGCGCAGCCCGCAGGGCGCGTCAGGGCAGAAAAAGGCACTAAAATCAGAAATCACGATGGCATGAAACACGGGTTTCATGCAAATCATGCAAGTCGCAAAGTTTCTGTTTTTCCATGCATTTACCTCTTACGGATATTTGATTTTTGCTAACATTCCGTCATTTGGTTCATTTGGAAAAACGTCTGCAAAATAACTGATATTGAAATGAGACAGCCTCGCCGCAGGACCGACGTTTTCGGCGCTCCTCAAAAACAAATCCACGTGGAGTGGGCACACACGGCGACGGCACACACGTGTTTTGGACGGTAGTGGAATAGGTGTAATTGGAGATTTGACTGATTTTGATTGATTACTTTGCGAGCTTCAGTTAAAATTTTGTAAAATAAATGTCTGAAAATGGGCATGAGCGAGATGTGCAGGAAGACCAAGTCATCAAGGATTCAGAAAGGATGAGAGACATGGAGATGAGCAAGTCATTGAAGTAAGTCAGTTTGAATTTAGATCAAATTACTAATTAGTCGGACTTTTGACAGTTAATCATGTATTTTACCTTAGATCAACACTTCATGATAAAACACACCTAGGAAAAAACTTGTATTCCAGCTCGCATGTTAATTAGTGTAAAAAATAAATTAGTTACCTTATCTATTTGAATGATAAATTTGTGAATAATATCTTATTCCTGAAGCTTTTATGCAATGTGGGTAGCTAGGTAGGCACCTACCTACATATTCAGGGCAGAATCTCTGGTACATATCATCATTTGATATGAAAATTAATGATTATGCAATGTCGAATGCATTGGTTTTCCAAAAAAAAAAATGAGTGGGATTCTGATCCTTTTTCCATGGTTTGTTATGTGAGAAAAGACTTTGTGGGGTTCCAAAATAGGTAAGTGAAGGTGTGTGATACAGGTTGATTAGTCAATTTTTGGTGCTCATGTTTACATGAAAACCAACTGGAGCATGATTGTTTTGTTTCAGGTCGCCTGTCTGCCAGCAGTGTTCCGAGCCTGCCAAGTACACATGTCCAGGCTGCCTGTGGAGAACCTGCAGTGTGAAATGCATCAAGCGCCACAAGGAAGAGACACAGTGCACAGGTCTGCGGGACAAAGTCAAATACAAGCCCATGTCTCAGCTGGGGGATCTGGACATCCTCAATGGTGAGGACACCATCAGTGATTGGAACTTGAAGTCAGCTCCAGCATGCAAACTGGAGCTATCTTTTATGATTAAATGACTAAAGACAGATTTTTCCATCTTGAGTGGGGGCTGGTGGAACTGGGGCGTTCCATGACAGATCGACCAAGCCATAACACCCTACCTCTCAGATTTTGATGAAATTGCGTCTAGGGGGTTATCTGTACCGTAGATTCTTAATCTCCTATTTTCAGCGTTATACTACAAACAGTTTACGAGTTATAGCCTGTGGCATTTTTCAAAATGCACAGAGTAACCCTCTTCTTGACTCACATTATATAAAGATATGGTCTGTAACTTACATTAATGTAGAGGAACACAGCTGTTCGGTCTGCCGGTCTATTTCAGAATGCCGCGCGGGCCAACTGACCCGCGCGGACGATGACACTGCGGTACAGCATAACAACCAGGCGCGGTGCGCACGCGCACCGCGCACGCGCGCCGCCGCGCGGTTCCCGCGCACGCGCAGTCGTCGCGCGGACCACGCCCAATTACCGTACATTACTTTCCCACGTAAAAGTTTGGCTTGTTCCTTACACGAGTCGGATAGCGACGCACAAGTTCACTGCGAGTGCCCGTAGACACAGGCGCGTCATCGGGCCGCGACGACGGCCCGATGAGGTCAGCCGTCCGCTGGGACTGCAACAGCGGCACCCGGCCAGATAGTGGCGATGACGGAACGGCAGCGCCCGAGACCTCGCGCGGAGCCGGCCCAGCACCAGCACCAGCCGGCTCGCCAGACGACCCAGCAGGCGGCTCGGCAGACGACTCAGCAGCAACACCAGGTGCCGGCGGCCGAACGTGCGCCGCGGCGAGCGGCCTTTGAACAGCGGCGGCGGCAGCCGGTAGCCAGCCAGAGACAGACGTGTGACCTCCGTCAGCGCTGCCGCCAGGTGTCACCTCTCCGCTCCGGTTCAGCTCAGGTAGCTGACGATATCCTGTGGACAGGGGTCTGCGTCTCAGTTCATCGACTGGGAGATCGATCTCTTTTGAGTCTCGTTCCCTTTCACGAAGTTGATCGACGTGGCGTCTCCAGCATCTCCCGTCTTCTAATCGTACCACATATGACACTGGTCCATCGATCGCACAAATAGTGCCGGGTACCCAAGGACGACCCACAGAAAAATTTCTTGCATAAACCTGGTCATCTATATCAAAAGTTCGAAGCGTACGCTTACCGTCGTGGTTTTGTTTTTGTCTCACTTGACCTCTGACCACCGTCGCCCGGATGCTCGGCCGTAGAAGATCCAGCTTACTCCGCAGCCTCCTGCCCAGCATCAGCTCTGCGGGCGGAACACCAGTTGTTGACTGAGGGACAATGTGTTGGTGAAGCAGCCAGTTTGCGAGACACAGATCCCATTGTCCCCCGCCGGAGCGCTGCAGCGCCAGCTTCACTTCTCTCACCATCCTCTCTGCCAGACCGTTCCCTTGACTGTGTCCTGGTTCTATCGTTTTGTGCTCTACTCCGTTCTCACGCAAAAAATCCTGGAACTCCTCAGAAGTAAATGCTGTTGCATTGTCTGACACGAGTACATCAGGAAGGCCCCAGCGTGAAAACATCTTTCTCAATTGAGCAATGGTGGTCCTCGAGCCAATACTGTGACACAGTTCAGCCTCTACCCATTTTGAGTGGGCGTCCACGACAACCAATACGTACCGTCCTCTTACCGGCTCAGCGTAATCAATGTGAATCCTGGACCACGGGCGGTCCGGCCAGGGCCACATACTCAGCGGTGCGCGGTCCGGTGCTGGGCGGCTCTCCTGGCATGGCTGGCAGCTCCGCACGGCTTCCTCGATGGCGGCATCGATGCCCGGCCACCAGACGTAGCCTCGTGCCAACGCCTTCATGCGCCTCATCCCGGGGTGGGCGGCATGTAGTTCGGCCAGTACCTCGCCTTGTGCCCTCTCTGGAATGATGACACGGTGTCCCCACATGAGGACGCCTGCGGTGACTGACAGCTCCAGTTTCCTGTCGGTAAATGATTGTGGCACATCGTCACCTTCACTCCAATCACCATACTGCACCATCTGCAGAACTCGGCTCAACGTTCGGTCGGTAGCTGTGAGTCGGGCTATCCTCTTTGCGTCAATTACGCGACTGTCAACCATCAGAACCAGCTCCTCCGGTTCACATGATTTGTTTAAGGGCAACGGAAGACGAGACAGAGCGTCGGCATTTCCCATGCGATCAGTCGGTCTGTGCTCAACGCTGTAACTGTAGGTCGACAGCTTCAGCGCCCACCGTCTGATCCTGGCAGAGGTCATGGTCGGTAAGTCCTGATGTTCCCCGAACAGTCTTAACAGTGGCTTGTGATCCGTTACCAGCTTAAAACGGTTTCCGAGCAGATAGTTGTGAAATTTGCACACGCCGAACACAATGGCTAGTGCCTCTCTGTCAATCTGTGCATATCTGCGCTCTGACTCTGTCAGAGTACGCGATACATACCCCAAAGGCCTCTCTGATCCGTCAGCCTCTCGATGCGCTAGTACCGCGCCGATGCCGACGGGAGAGGCGTCACAGACCAGGACGAGCTGCTGGCCACTCCTGTAGTGCGTCAGGAGCGAGTCCGACGTCAGCGCGTTCCGCGCCCACTGGAAACTCTTCTCCTGCTCGGTGCCCCAGCGCCATCTGGAATCTTTCCGGAGAAGCTCGTACAACGGGGCCAACTTGTCAGCACGGGAGGGCAGATACTTTGCGTAGTAAGTCACCATTCCGAGAAAACTTAGCAGCTCTTTGACATTTCTAGGAACTGGAGCATCTCTGATGGCACTCACTTTGGCTGGCGTCGGTCTGATGCCGTCCCTGTCGATCAGATGCCCCAAATACTCCACTTTCTGCATCATGAACTGACACTTGGATGCACGTACCTTCAGTCCAGCTTCTTGCAGGCGATGAAGGACCTCGTCCAGCGTTTTCAGGTGCTCTTCAGTGGACCTGCTGCTCACCAAAATGTCATCGAGGTACACGGCAACAGATGGCATGCCGCTCAACACCTTCTCGATCTCTCGCTGGAATATCCCAGGCCCAGCTGATATTCCAAATGGTAAGCGCGTGTAGGACATGGGCCCTTTAGCTGTACTAATCGTCAAAACATCTCTCGAATCTCTATGAATGGGAATCTGGTTGTAGGCTTGTGCCAGATCAATCTTTGAAAAAATCGCTCCTCCCGCTAACTGAGCAAAAAGATCCTCAACAAGCGGCAATGGATACTGATCCAGTTTGACGGCACGGTTGGCAGTGAGTTTGAAGTTGGCACATACCCTGATCTCACCAGACTTTTTCAGCACTGGGACCAGTGGTGCAGCCCACTGGCTGTGCTGCACCGGCACCAGTATGCCCGCCTTGACATCCTTCTCGATCTGCTCTTCCACCTTCTCCCTGTAGACGTACGGCAGAGATCTGGGTCTGAAAAATCTGGGGGTCACAGAGCGGTCCACCTCCAGCTTCACCTCGACCCCTTTTAACTCACCGAGCCCCGGCTCGAACACTTGACGGTACTTTCCCTTCAGCTGGTCGATGGCCGAGTTGAAGACCGCCTTGACCTCGCACCAATTGATTCGGATAGCCTCCAACCAGTCCCTGCCCAAGAGACTGGATCTGGTGCCTTTCACCACGATCACCTTCATACCACGGTACGTCATACCATTGTGCTCGACGGACGTACAAAACTCCCCAAGCACAGGAATGGGCTGATGTGTATATGCTCGGAGCTGAACCCTACACTCTTTCAGTCTGGGCCTGCAGTTTAACATGCTGAAAGTATTCTCTCCAATGAGCGTGTACCTAGAGCCTGTGTCGATCTCCATAGTCACATCAGTCTGTTGCAGTTTAACATCACACGTGAACGGAGGTGAGCCACCCACCTGTCTGACGTCAGCAGGGCCGGTGTCGGTGGATCGACGGATCTGGCCAACTGCTTCTTCGGCTTCCACCCAGCTCTCCCAGTCCTCTTCATCGCCGGAGCCGGTGACATTGTTGGCCGACTGACGGCGCCTCCCAGAAGTGGCCGTCTTCCGTGGGCGGCGCCTGCACGCTCTCTGAATGTGGCCGAATTGACCACAGTTTCGACACTTAAAGTTACGGAATCTGCATATATCCGGACTGTGATTGGCACGATTACAACGCCAGCAAGGCTCTGTGTTCGCCTGCGCTGCAGCAGCATGGACAGTGGCGTGGCCCGTGCCCCCGCACTGACCTGCGATGACCTGAGCGTCCTTACTTGACATCTCGAGCGACAGACTGACTTGCTGAGCTCTGGAGAAGTCCAGCTGCGGCTCAGCCAAGAGGTGCCTCTGGATGCGCTCGTCAGCGATGCCGCACACCAGCTGCTCCATCAGTCGATCTTCCAGTGTGCCTCCAAACTCGCAGTGCTCTGCTGCCTTGCGGAGCTCGGCGATAAAGTCTGCAACAGGTTGAGACGGATCACGATGGCACTGGCTAAATCGAAACCTGCTCAATATTTTCGATGGCTTGGGATCTTTGTGAGCTCTCATCACTGCCAACAGCTCTTCAAACGATTTATCATGCAGTGCAGCCGGCGACACCAAACTGCGAAACAATGTATACGCTTTCTTCCCACAAGCAGTCAACAAACGAGCTCTCTTGACGGTACCATCAGTGATTTGCTTACTTTCCAAGAGGAACACAAAACGTTCCTCCCACTCACACCATGAGTCCGTATCGGGATTAAATGGTTCGATCTCACCCATTTTGCTGCTGCAGACGCCTCAGTGTCCGACAGGTTCAATACCAGAGCCGTCCGCGGCGACCGGGACCACGCCCAGTCCAGCACCCGTCCTTTGGCTGTCCGTATTCCTCGTCGCCAGTTGTAGAGGAACACAGCTGTTCGGTCTGCCGGTCTATTTCAGAATGCCGCGCGGGCCAACTGACCCGCGCGGACGATGACACTGCGGTACAGCATAACAACCAGGCGCGGTGCGCACGCGCACCGCGCACGCGCGCCGCCGCGCGGTTCCCGCGCACGCGCAGTCGTCGCGCGGACCACGCCCAATTACCGTACAATTAATATGTATATCATTGAAATTCTCATTGACTGAAGAAAAATAATCAATCAAAATATTTTGAAAATTTTCAAAATCTCAACATTTTTTTAATTAATACATTTTTTATTTTTTATTTTCAAAATGTGGCCATTAAATTTGTGCCAAAAAGATTATGCCAAAAGATGCCTCTGGATATGAAAATTAGATGTACAAAAATTTGGAGAGGTGTTTTGCCTTGAACTTTTTATATAATTTTTTATTTACGGCAATATTAAAGGGACTATCCCACCTTTAACATGGGGTTTGAGTTGAGATAGCCAAGTTTGCGGCGAGGTTCAGAAACCACTATCTATATAGGTTGCAACCCCCGCGGCCTCTTGGTGTTGAAGAAATTCGTTCCCTTCATTTGAAAATGGGCCTTGTACAAGGCCCTATCTTCAACATGGAGCGACCGTTAGTGTGACGTCACCTCGTTTAGTCATTCTGATTTTAATGGGTTTGTGTGTTGAAAAATCGCTTAAAACTTGGTCTGAACTTTGTTGTGGTGCCTACAGAGTAAAAAGAATCAGCTTTATGACAGTAATGTGGCCTGGGGAAGGAGGTAATTTTGGGCTGTGACGTCACATATTTGAAAGTTTGTGTTTAGAATATGGGAAGCCTAAGATGTTTAATGAAAAATAAATGCCAGAACCGTGTTCCTGGTCATCCAATCTATAAAGTCGGGCACAATTTAACTGGTTTTAACAACATTTTAGAAGGTGGGATAGTCCCTTTAACACGAGCAGTGGAAGGGGGATTTCGCCCACCCCTCCTGTTTTTCGCCAATAACTCGCGCCGCAAACATAATATTAATGTGAAGTTTTGACTACCTGTCCAAAATTGAACTGCGGATCTCCTCGTGCAAGAAATAAGAAAATTGGATCACAACTTTTCTAGTAATAGCGGTGTAAAGTCAAATATCCTGCCGCCGCGGCGGCGCGGCGGCCGGCGCTAGCCGTTACGCGCCGCCTGAATCGTAGACTGTGCCGGGGCGGGACGGTTCCGTCTTTACATCGCGCTCCGGCGCTGATTATATTCGATTGGCGTCAAATTTTGTGAGAAGACTGAGAAATGTACAGGCAATCCTATGGTTCAATAATTTTGAAAATAGGTCGGTAACAACTTGAGTTATGAGTGTGTAAACACAAAATTGTGATTGCCGCGTTTCTCGCGTCGGCCGATCCCGCCTCAGCCGGCGACATCTTACCCTTCGCAGGCTTCCAACTGCCATATTTATTGTTGGATTAACTAGAAATTCACCATACATACTCACAAATGTATATTCTCTCGTATAGTGAAAGAAAAAAGAAAATCGACCGGTAACTTTTTGAGTTATCGGCGTGTAAACGCTCATAACAGCCGAGGCTGTGTTAGGGTCAAATGAGGAGAAGGCTCACCCTAGTAATCGCATGAAGTTCGCTCTGTCCATGTAATAATGGGCTTTCAGTGAGTTTGCTTATTGAATATGCCACACACAAAATATATGCAGACAAAAGTGCGGCATTTGGAAGCAATTCATTGCAATTGACTGGGGCGTGACCAGGTCAGAGAGGGTGCAGATAACAAAATTACAAGTACCGACGTGAAAACTGGCCGGGATTGTGCGCTCCCACGGGAGCAGCGGTGCCGCTCCAAGGGAGCAGCCCGCATGAGATAAAGTTGCCTGTCCAGCCCGGAGGGGGGTTGCGGCGTGGAGAAGGATTTCTGTATCCTGAGCATAGAAGCACGGAACGGTGATGCCTGGAACTGGAAGCATCTCAAACGTTTTGGATTAATGTATTTCAAGGTATTAAGTGGCTTGGGATGCTCCATGTTTCACTAACATTCACTTCCATAGCATTTTTATTTCCACCTGGCCGAAGGTTTGATGTGCAGCCCCAACGGTTTTCTCGAGATCGTTTGCAACGCTGTAAGGCTGGAGAGCTGAAATTGACATACCTTCCTACCTACCTGAGCATTGACTTAAGCCGGATTTTTTTACGCCAACAGAATTTTGAGGCTGAGGTCAGCTTACTGACCTATGACAGCACAAATAAATATCGGAACGATGCAAAAAGTTGCAGCTTTACAGCGCCCTCAGTGAGCCTTTTGCAGGGGATGAAACTTAAGTAACGGCATATAGTAACGGCTCTTGAGATTTCACATCAATTCCTCCAACTTTAACTTTCACCCGAGGTCAAGCTGGCCACGTGACTTCACTATTACAAGTCAATGGGAAATATTGAAACATTGAAACTATTATTTTGATGCCGGAAACGAACGAAGCCTGTCAGCAATTATCAAACACCTGTAATCGTGATTCCATACACTTTGCAGAGGGCGATTTTTCGGGACCTTCCATGACGTCGTATACCTATGCTAATTGCTAGTACTTTGTATGGTCGTTTTAGGTCATCGTTTTTCTTTTTGTCAATAACCTTGATTGGAATTAATCTCGCGAGTCGAATAAGCCACCAGTGCGTGAACTCACGGAACCCTGCTGAACCTAATCATATCCCTAAAATAGCTGCTTTCACGACAAGTATCTAACACACATTTACTGATAGTTGATGCGATTTGGTCAAATTTGGTTCATAGTTGATTCTCAATTGCTTTAGCTTGGGTTGCACTAGTTGCTTATTGACCTTATTTATCATATTATCAGACGTTCCTTTTAAATCAAACATTTGAACAAAATTACGTTATGAAAATAGCTATACAGTAAAACAGATTTGGCTAGATTCGTCTGACATCCGCCATGAAAACGGCTGATACATGGCCTCATTTGACCAGCTCATCTTGACCTCAGCGGTTTTGATGTGACTTCGACCTGAGGAAAACACCAGCTGACCTCTTCCAAATACAGTTATATCATTACGGTCAACTGGTGACCTCTGTGGTCAGGTCAAATGCCCTGAACCAGGGATTAATTTTCTGTCAATAAATCCCCAAATGGTCGCAGCACCGTCATTTCAGTACCTGACACTTATCTGGCACCATCGTGTTTATGATGCTCCGCCGGGAAGAATGGTGTGCTGATATTTTGGAAAGCTCAGCTTAACGTGCTTACTTCAGGTCAAGGTCAGAACGAAGTCGTTCAGGTTACGAATCTGGTCGATTGAGATGATTTTGAGTACCTACATTGATGACCCTTCCCTCAATGCCCTCATTTTGTTTGGAATCAATTGACGAAAAATTATCCCATCAAACAGCCTTAGTGACGTCACAAATGACGTTCCGTTTTTATGTCGTCACGCAAGGTCCAGGAGCAAAACTGAAACATCGGACCTAGCAAAGAATGCGTGAAGTACATTCTCCTCGTAAATAATTGTTGGCAATGAGGGCATTTCGCTCTTGCGACATTTTTAACATTACATAGACTTACTTATTTGACGTAATAGTTCAGTGAAGTGACCCTATATAAAGTTCGTTTGGTGTCACAAGCTAAATCGAAGATAAGTTATAATAACTTTCAGCGCTCTATCGCCATTGCGTCCCTAGCAGTGATGAGAAAACCGTCAGAGGCGGATAGTACTCGCTCCCACGGCCACATGCGGTTTAACCTCGCTCTCTTGAGAACAATACGTCATTATGACGTCTTTGACTATTTGGGACCTAGCTTAGCTTGCGTAGGTGTCCTAAGTCTCTTTAGAAAAAATTAACAGAGTTGCAATGAGCTCTCAATCACATTTGACCGTTCTCAGTTCGGACCAGTTGACAGTTATTGTTATTTTTTCCACTGTACGACGAAATTTAATGTTGTATAGCGACCTTAAGAGGAAAAACACCTTTTTAATATTTTCATCATTCAATGGCAATGCGTTGAGAAGACTTTTACTGCAAAAATAAATTGCAAAAAAAGATGGCCACATTCTCAAAATTTGATTTTTACAAATAAATCATATGTAAAAAAAATAAAAATCGAAAATTTTCCAAAATAATTGATATCACACAAATCTTTGTTTAATTCCAATTGTGGGGATATGCAGTTTTATATGAATCTTATGAGTATTTAGCGAAATATCCGCGGATGAAATTTATAGTTTTTATGCTAGTCATTAAGTTGCCTGGGGCAATATCTCCCAAAGTATTCGACGGATGTGATTGAAAATGTCACAAAACGAATCGCCGGGCTAGATAACCACATAGCCGAAATTTCATTAAAATTGGAGAGGTAGGGTGTTATTTCGCGATTTTTTTGGTCGATTTGTCGTGGAATGCCCCAACTGTCAATTGGTATAACTGTTTTATGACTATTTTGGAGACATAATAACAATTGCACACCATGCTGCTTGAGACTCAAGCCTATGAGCAATACACTCCACTCTCCCAGTCCCACCACGTGTCCTGCTCCCACTCTCCTCCTCTGACCCTCTGTCACCCCCCTCCGCTGACCGCTGCCCGCCCCCCTCGGTCAGACTACCGACTGTTAGAGGCCGGCGCCCCTCGCTCGCAGTCACCCGCGCCCCTCCGCTGACCGCTGCCCGCCCCCCTCGGTCAGACTACCGTCTGCTGGAGGAGATCGGCCGCCAGGTGGAGGTGGCCGGCCGCACGGCGCCGCGCTGCGGCCGCCACGGCGCGCCGCCGCCGCTCCGGCCCGCCCTCCACCGGCTGCGCAGGCTGGCCAAAAAGCGCGGCGTGCGCCTCGACTTTCTGCCGGAGAGCTTCGAGCGCCGGCGACAGAACACCACCGAGGTGGATCCGGGCGGCCAGCAGCGGCTGCTCTGGAGGGTCGAGTGGCGCCTGCCGCTGGCCGATGCCGTCGTCACCGACGACAAGTGGGTGACCGGGGAGAGGGAGGAAATGTTAGAGGGAGTTAGTGGAGCGGGTGCGGGGGGCTGTGGTGTGGGTAGGGAGTGTGATGGAGTCTCAGGTGGAGGTTGGAGGAGTTATCAAGTTTTTGGGAACCATTTGAATGTATGAGTTATGTTACTCGTCTCCATGCTTTCAAGGCATCGGCATTTGCATGGTACAATAATGTTTTCTATTGGTTTGACAGCATCCAATGGCGCCACATAATGAAGCAGCAGTTTTGAGTAGAGTGGTCCTAGCTCAGCTCCGTTTGTGATTTATTAGCGCTCTCTCCTCTCCGCTCGCAGAGTGCCAGAGACCACGAAGTTATCGGAGGCGCTGGGGCGACACCTGTCGGTCGGGCCGGCAACTAACGCTTTGAAGGAGGATCCGCTGCAGTTCTACCGCGCTGCCTTCGAGACGGGCTCCGTGCGGGTGTTCCTTCGCCTGGAGCGGGTGCAGCAGGGTGACAGGTAACAGGAGGGGATGGTCTGCGGTAACAGGAGGGGATGGTCTGCGGTAACAGGAGGGATGATCTGCGGTGACGGGAAGAGCGGGAGGGAAGCTGCTGAGAGGGGGGTGTTGTATTTGACGAGAAGTCCTAGCCATCTGCTCAATGCCGCGCATCTGCGTGGTGCATGGGTAGTGGGTACTGCATACCAATGATATCCCATGCATGTGTGACTGGGTGTACTGTGGAGTGTGGGTATCTGGTACCTAACCTCAGTTTACCAGGTACCTGACCTGTGTATCAAGTTTCGTGCATTGCGTATACCTGTCCCGTGTACTAGTATCGTATGCTATCCTGTGTACCTGACATATGTTCCCAGCATCATGTAGTGTGTGTACCTGACCTCGGTGTTCTCTGTCCTGTGTACTCAGTACTGTAGCGTGTGTACCTGACAGACCCGTGTACTCGGTTTTTCTGCGCTCAGGTACCTGGAGCTGCCGCTGAGCCGGCCGCTGGCCGAGTGTCTGAGGCAGCAGTTGGTGATCGAGTTCCCCGTGCTGGTGGTAACCACGGAGGAGCACGCCGAGCAGTACCGCACCGACCGTATAGAGGGTACGCGGCCGACCCTCAGGGCAGATCACCATACCCCCAACCCCAGTCCCCCCATACACACAGCTCACCAACCACGGGCTGGTCAATGTGGGCCAGTTCACACTCCAAAGAAACACCGTTTGAATACAAAAGCACCACTTTGTTCTGGGTCTTTGTACAAACCAGTGACATTTCGCTTAGTTTGTAGTACGGGTTAGTTACATCATCGGAAAAAATGTGCCCCTGCCTAATTTCAATGGGAAGAGTGTTCGGATGCAATTGGATGCTAGTTTTCGTTTTGTTTGGGGGGTTGGGTTTTGAGCTGCAGTTGAACTGAAGCAGTTGAACAGTCTTTAACCTGATGACTTCAGTGCTGAAACACTGAGCTTGTCCTGACTAATTTTCCCCGTTGTGCTTCGATATACCGTAAGGTGGGGCTATTTGAGACAGTGGGGCTATTTGAGACAGTGGGGCTATTTGAGACAGTATTTAAAATTGTTATAAAATAAAAACCGTTTGAAATTTATGTTTAATTTTTGCTCAGGCGCTTTACCGCTTGATTCCACACCTTCCTGAGCAAAAATATCACATACAAAACAAACGCTCTTCATTTTATAGCGATTTTAAATACTGTCTCAAATAGCCCCACTGTCTCAAATAGCCCCACTTTACGGTATTCGAATTAACCTCACCATGAATAGCTGTTCGTTTGTTGATTTCCCCACCAGTCTGAGAACGTTATGTGTCGCCGGCAGCGTCCTTCTTCTCTCTGTGTAAGCGCGAGGAGGAGGCCCAGCGTCGCGCGCGACGGGCCGAGCGGCGCCGGGGACCCGCCGACGCCGACGCTGCCGCGCCCGACGAGCCGGCGCGCAAGCTGCCGCGGCCGCGACTGGATGGGGTCTCTGTGGCGGCCGCCCCGCCTCCTACTCCGCCGCCCGCCCCGCCGGAGCCGGAGCCAGAGGAGCTGGAGCCGCAGCCGGAGGTCGGCGGTGAGCCACAGCCGCAGACGGAACCGAAGGCCGCCGCCGGGTTCGGTCTGTTCGGAGTTGATGATTCGGACCTATCCGATTAGGTTGTTATCGGATGCAGACGCGCTCGCCACTGAGGTTTATATGGAGTCATGCGAGATTTCCAGCCTGCCTTGTCCGCTTGTTGGTGTACTGGTGCCGCTGTCATTCCCAGTGCCCTGCCCCTGTGACGGTCTTGTTGAGTTTGCTGCGGTCATCCAGTGTCGTATAACGGTCGTATAGAGGTCGCCGTTGAGGTGACGCGGATACCGCAGCGGTGCGGTCCAATGGACGGGTGCTGCAGTCCGATGTCTGGGCTGCCCTCTCGGTCAGCTGGGCTGGTGGGAGGGGAGGGGGAGGAAGGGACACAGATCGATCTGCCCCCGGCGAGCGATGTCCTGTGGCGTCCCCCCCCCGGGCCCCCCCCCCCCCCTCCCGGCACTGCGGTCCCCGAGATGACTGTTTGTCGATCGATAACGTCGAGAAACGTGGAGAGCGGCTCGGGAACGTTATCTAACGTCACGAGTCGGTGTTAGATATTTCCTACAATTTACAAGAATGTGCACTTTGTAAAACAAGTATAAACTGATTTCGTTTTTTACGGTTATTATGTTCGTCGAAGACTAATATAGTTTTGTCAAAGTGATTATGGGTCTAATGTTTTATACCGGAAAAAAATGGTGTTTGGTGAACAAAGTTCTACGAGCCTGTGTTGCACAAACTTGCGACAAATCGTCTCACGAAATCGTGTTTCTCAGTCGGGCCAAAGCCCTATCGGCGTGTTTGGTTTCGCTTCAGTAGGAGAGTGGATGACTTTGTCCGCGCCGGCTGCTTAGTTTAGAAAGTGGAGGAATGATGTAAAATCATTTACAGGTCGAGGTGATCGTGTAGTGAGATGCAAGAAGTGAGGGCAATGTATGACAGCCAGCTGAACCACAAATATTGACTGGTTATTATCGACCCGATCAGTTCTGAAGTCTGTCGATGTGGCACCAGTCCGGCCGTTAGCTCGCAAAAAGTGCGGGGCGGCGCGGGCTGGGTTTTTCACCAGCTGTTCGCGTCTGAGCGCCGCCCCGGCCGGTGGCGGCTGCAGCGGTCGCCCGCTGCCACGCGGCAGCAGCCTGCATGCCGTGGCCTGTGAATCATGTTCAGTCATTCGTGTCGCTGCAATGAACCGGGCCCGGGTTCTCCGCGCGGAAAGAACCAGGGTGCCTATTGAATGAAAGGACGGCATTGCCTAAAAAACGGCCAAAGATGCCATGAAATAGGCAGTATTGACGAAAATTTTGCTTCAAGATACTGTATAAATATTTGGTAAATTGGTAGCCGAGATGAGTTCTGTTGGACAACGTTTCGCCACAGCCGATTTCAGTGAGCCGTTGAGACTCGGCCGGGGAGGGATGGGCTGTTGAGGCAGGGGTTCCGCCGTCCCGGGCGGGCGCTGGCGGCGCGCCGCCATATGGCTGCGGATGGCAGACGTGGCCTCCGCGAAACCAGTCAGCGGCGGCGATCAGCTGGGGGCGCGCCGACAGCGCCATCTGTACCGGAACCACGAACCACGCCCGGCCGGCGGCCACGTCACGGCCGCCGACCCTCTCGACCGGGAGCAGCAGCCAGCAGGCGCCGCCGCACCGCCAGACGCCCCCCCCCCCCCCCCAGACTGGAGAGATTTTCAGCTGTTCGCCCCCAGTTACCACGGGCCGAACCGATAGCCCACCCAAAAACCGCGGCAGACTTGGCCGGCCGCCAGGTCCGTCCGATCAATGCTCCTATGACCTTGGCCGTGGAGACTGGAGGGGAGCCAGAGCTGCCGGTTTTCCGCCAGACGAGCACGGCAGAGGGAAATTCTCAGCTCATGACCAGCGAAATGCCGGAGACGAGGATTAGATGGCGAGCAGTAAGCACTGCATTGGTCTCTCCGTCCACATCTTGGTGCTCGTCAAAGCTAAGACAGGCTCCTTCGGCAGTCAGTCGAAAGCGCATGCTAGATCTTATACCCACTACCTAAATCCCAGATGCTGCAGATTAGCTCTCAATTACATAACGCATCCATGCCATGCGAGCGTTTGGTGTATATGTTAGCGTGCGATTTTCAGACTGTGTGAAGTCTTTTTAGTATAAAGACTGCAGGCACTTGTCCGAGTTTACCGAACCGTCGACACGGTGACCCCGAGGCGCCATGGAACATGACTCATTCGATCAATAATGCGGTTCCAGCTGTGCCGACCGACTCGACTCCCCAGACTCCAGGCTACCTAAACGGGCCCCGGTTTCAACTGCAAGCACATCAGGCACCGGACCGGCGTACCAGGATCACTCGGTTCAAGATTCATACGAGGGATCTGCAGATCCTTGGAGGAATTGTTGAGCCGGACAAAAGTGAATGATCCTAATAGTCATTCGGAAATAATATGATGCATACTTTGACCGGCAATGATCAGAACTTCAAAAGCATCAGCATCCCCGTTCCCAGAGCCAGGCTTTTCCAGGAACCAGCAGTCACCTAACGGTTGTGCAGCGAGCTTCTCGAACAACGCGAATCTGATTCACCGTGCTACTCAGTTCCAACTACTAATGAATGGCCTGGGAGACGAGCGATTCCTGCCACCCGTCCTCCCCCGCAGTGTGCGGTGTCCCGAGCCCCGTATGGTGCCCCATGCCAACGCATACCAGCCGGCCGACACGTGGACCCACGCCGGCCGGCCAGTTGGGTCGCCCACGCCGCCGACCGTGACGTCATCGCCGCGCCACACGCTTCCCCCAGACACCACTACCCACAGCCCGCCGGCTACGAAACGGTGATCCAACAGACAGGATCATTCAAGGCAGTGACCCTAATTTATGAATCTCCATTCCGCAAATTGCAACTGCGATCCCCCCCCCCCCCCACCCCACCGGTATACAGATTCAGTGTCCAATTACTATCTGACCCTTTCACCCTTCACACGGGAAAAAAGAAAGGCCACGTACCCGGTATTGTCCATAGGTTTATTTATACGCCCAGGTGACACAATCACATGGATAGCAGAGTATGGGTCAGTCGATAAAAAACTGATGGGCTAGTTTCCACATACTCTTTTCCTCCGGAACTCCTTGCGGTGACAATGCGACATAAGCCACTGAGACAGAGAAAACGAACAGTTAAGCTTTTTCTCGCCAAATGGCCAGGCGGTGACACAGAACGAAATGCATCCCTTCTTACGGTACGGAGAGCAAACACCTGCGGTCTCACAAGTGGCATCCATGTGGGGGGCAAATACCTATTTCTTGCCGGCCTTCTCGGCAGCCTTGGTCACCTTGCCGGACACCACCTTGGGGGTGACTCCCTTGATGACACCGACGGCCACCGTCTGCCGCATGTCGCGCACGGCGAACCGACCCAGCGGCGGGAAGTCGGTGAAGGTCTCCACCACCATCGGCTTGCTGGGGATCAGCTTGATGATGGCGGCGTCGCCGGACTTGAGCGACTTGGGGGCCTCCTCAGTCACCTTGCCGGTACGGCGGTCCACCTTCTGCTGCAGGTCGGCGAACCGGCAGGCGATGTGGGCCGTGTGGCAGTCCAGCACGGGCGTGTAGCCGGCCGACACCTGACCGGGGTGGTTCAGGATGATGACCTGAGCGGTGAAGTCCTCGCAGCCGGTCGCCGGCTTGTTCTTCGAGTCGGAGGCGACGTAGCCACGACGCAGCTCCTTGACGGAGACGTTCTTCACGTTGAAGCCGACGTTGTCGCCGGGGAAGGCCTCCGGCAGAGATTCGTGGTGCATCTCGACGGACTTCACCTCAGTGGTCAGACCGGACGGGGCGAAGCAGACGATCATGCCGGGCTTGATGGTGCCGGTCTCGACACGGCCCACGGGCACCGTTCCGATACCGCCGATCTTGTAGACGTCCTGCAGGGGCAGACGCAGCGGCTTGTCGCTGGGGCGGGTCGGCGGCTCGATGTTGTCGAGGGCCTCCAGCAGGGTCTTGCCGGAGCCAGAGCCGGACTTGCGGGTGGTCTCCCATCCCTTGTACCACGGCATCTTGTCACTGGCCTCCAGCATGTTGTCGCCGTGCCATCCAGAGATGGGCACGAAGGCCACGGTCTTGGGGTCGTAGCCGACCTTCTTGATGTAGGTGGAAACCTCAGAGACGATTTCCTTGAAGCGGGCCTCGGAGTACGGCGGCTCGGTGGTGTCCATCTTGTTGACACCGATGATCATCTGCTTCACACCCAGGGTGTAGGCAAGGAGGGCGTGCTCGCGGGTCTGGCCGTTCTTGGAGATACCAGCCTCGAACTCGCCCACACCAGAGGCGACGATCAGCACGGCGCAGTCGGCCTGAGACGTACCGGTGATCATGTTCTTGATGAAATCCCTGTGGCCGGGAGCATCGATGATGGTGACGTAGTACTTGGACGTCTCGAACTTCCACAGGGCGATGTCGATGGTGATACCGCGCTCGCGCTCAGCCTTCAGCTTGTCCAGCACCCAGGCATACTTGAAGGAGCCCTTGCCCATCTGAAAGGAAGAAATTGTATCATCAGAATTTTAACTACCACATCCTCACGCGGGGAATGGGGATGGGGCTTCAAGGCAATGTGCATGGGAGTAGCGTGTGTATACATTGCTGGACAGTAGTGAACAATGTTTTAAAACAAAACAGCCGCCCGCATACTTTTTTAATTTCCCGAATTTTTGTTGTAAGACGACATAACTCGTCTGAATACGTTGCTTCATAGCTCCCGCACTATATCACATCTCGTAAGCTTGACAATTACCTGCTGGGCCTCAGCCTCGAACTTCTCGATGGTACGCTTGTCGATGCCACCGCACTTGTAGATCAGGTGACCGGTGGTGGTCGACTTTCCGGAGTCGACGTGGCCGATGACCACAATGTTGATATGGGTCTTCTCCTTTCCCATGGTGGCGGAATGTGTAGGCTACCAGCACAAGAGACTGCAAAGAAATAAAAAAAATTGTTAGCTGGGTTGGTGCGACAGGAGGGCAGGCTGAGAGGATGCCAAGGGAATAGTATTTAAGTGAACAACTTTGAGAAAGCAATCATCCTTAATTTAGTAGAGTGGGCCTCCATTTTTGTTCTGGAAAAAATATATTGCAATACCTAAGCATGTCCGCGCAATGTTAAGTATCTCAATTCCAATAGCAATGCCAAACAGGATATGTCGGGACTGTATCACATGGCAGGACATTCGCAATGAGTTTCAGGCAGTAAAAAGCTATGAACCGCCAAAATGAAGATCGTCTGATAACAATAAGGACCAAGCTGCAACCAATTCCAAACTGACTGCACTACAGAAGGAAGTACAAAACTTGATGAAAACTGATCTCCAGATTGACGACTGGCACAACTAGACAAGTAACCAGTAGTCACAACATATGAGTCAGCCATAACTCATTGCTAACAGAAGCTGAAGCATTGAAGTTACACAATCAGTTGCATGCTCAGGCATGCATTTACTAAATATGGGCAAAAGTAAGGATTGCTGGAGACATAAGTCCCATTCCATTTCATTTTTCAATGCATATATCCCACCTTCAACAGATCATAGCCTAATAGATAAATCAAAGAAATGATTCAACATTGATAATCGTTTCAGTAATATCATGTGCAGGGCTGCGGAGTCGGAGTCGATCGGAGTCGACAGTTGTGACCGGAGTCGGAGTCGATTTTAGAAACCCGGATTATAGAAACCCGGAGTCGGAGTCACCGAAAATCTGTCGACTCCGCAGCCCTGCTAGGTCTGCGGAGTCGGAGTCGGTCGGAGTCGACAATTCTGCCCGGAGTCTGAGTCGGAGCTGGTTTTTGAAAGCCGGAGTCGGAGTCGCCGAAAATCCATCGACTCCGCAGCCCTGATCATGTGATATGCAGACATCAGTCAACTACCCTACAATTTAGTGACCACACAACTGAAATTTTTCATCCAAATGATTCAGAGGAGATAATATCTACATTCACTGAAAGTAAGCAACTTATTGACAACCTTACAAGCAATTTTGCAATGGTAAATTTGAATCTCCCTTTTAAGAACATTGCTGCTATCAACATTCAAACCTCCTATCTGCACTTCATAGTTCAACTTTATACTTCAACCGTCAACTACGTTGACACATCAACATTGCAAGATAAATGAACCATTTTCATACTTTTTCCAGTTTAGGATTCAGCTGCTCCACTGATACAGCTGAGCCAGTAATGCTACACAAACAAACACAACATACATGTTGGACACAACAATACAGCTGAGCCAGTAATGCTACACAAACGACCACAACACACATGTTGGACACAACACATCAATCCATAAGTACACTCGGGGGCAGATTGATGTTCCACCACTCCCTACCCATCGGGATCTCATGGCTCCCGCACTGGCTGCTGTCAGTGGCAGGACTGGCAGCACTGGCATTGGCAGGCAGTGCTGAGCAGTGCTGAGGGCAGGCAACACTGGCAGCAGCCACTGCTGATCCATGGGAGCCCGATGGGTAGGGAGTGGTGGAACATCAATCTGCCCCAGAGTGTACCTACATCAGACCCCACTTCCAAAGACAACCCATGAAACACCACAGCTAAGCTAAATGCAACAGCAGAAGATTAATGATTACTACATGAGCTTTAGCATCCTCTCGACATTTATGCCTTAAAGGGACACTCCCACCTTAACATTAGTTTTGAGTTGAGATAGCCAAATTGGTGGCCATGGCCTGCAAATACCGGTTTGGGCACTCACAACATCGAAAAATGCTTTAATTTGAAGATATGGAATTTCAAACTTGCAGTTTTCAGATTCAAAGGGGCTAATGCATTGGAATGCCCCCTTAGAATTTGTGACGTCACCGGAGATCTAACGATTTTTAAATCTTAGACTAAAACCATCGTTAACACGTGGTGGTATACGCTGCTTTGCGCGCAACGTCTGCCGCACTTTAAGGCTGCCAAATTATTGCTTCCAAATAAAGTCGCTAGTAACAGGGGAGATCCCAAAAAGTAAACAAAAGTAAAAGCCTAATATCTTGAAAACCAGTGAATATTTTTCGGTGAAATTTGGTAGATATTCGTTTTCGCTCTTTCTGAACCAAGGGACATCACTTTCATGCCAATTCATTAACTTTTTTGAAGGTAGGAGGGTCCCTTTAAGTGCACCTATCACTCAAGGAGCAGTTAATCATATTGACAATATTCTTGGTCAGTTTAAGGTTGACAATATGGTGTTTATCAATTTTGAGCCCAGAGGGCTGCTCAGGTATGAGCAGCGTTGTGCTGCTTTCATCACTCGGGCAATGAGGTAAAAACGGCTCTTTGCAAGCTAAGAATAGATCTGTACTGTGTGCATCATAATTGACTTCAGCTGCTTGGCTCTGCACACTCCTCCAGCACTGCACTGCTTGGAGCTGTTGCAGCATATTTCATGCACAGCAAGACCATGGCATGGGACTAATGGTTTCATTGGTGATTGTCATTTAAATATGGTTTAAACCAGGGTTGGAATTTCACGCAGTTGTTACTTGTAAGAGATTAATGGCAGTGTGTCACTGACAAGGAAAACGCACCCATAAAAACACCATCATGCCTTATTAAATTGGAAATAAGGGACCATGCTTCCAATTTCTGAGCCGCATGTCAAAGAAACCACAGTAGAAAACATCGCAATGAGATGGCACACAAGTGTGGCCAGGACTAGCAGGCAGAGCTGTGCATACATGATGCAGCACATTTAATTTTCAATGAGCAGCCGAACAGCCCTCTGCAATAGATCTACACAAGCCACTAACCATCAAATGGGACCACAACAGAGCCACCACAATTACATCACCAAATATCATTTGGAACAAGAAATGGACAATTAACATTTGACGTATGAAGTACTTTCTAATGTATAGATTGCACATTCAGTATGCTCAGGCCCGCAGACACCATGTGGCGCCACATATGTCACAAAGCACAGTCAGTTAAAAATTTAGACCAAAACGAGAAATCTTAATACAGAGATCGCTTAATATAATACATAATTATAATTCATACCAATATCCAGGATTATTAAGAGCCAGACAAGCCAGGATCACTTGAAAGAGCCTGCGGAGCCGGCACAGCACCTCCGGACAAGCCCGCAAAACTAGTCACAAATCTCAATAACCGAAACGAACAACAACCTTTTAGAAGCTAGGAAATGACATATTTAAATGGAGACTCGCATCTATTCACAAAAGAACGATCAAACAACAGCCACTTCGCAGATATTTACCAATGAATTTCACAGCACACAACACACGTCCTACCTGACAGCGAGCCGGCTTAGAAAGAGGACGGAAGTAGGTGGTGCTGTTTTAGGATGTCGCGATGATGATACTAGGGCTGCTCATTTATGATTCAATTATGTTGCTTTGTTTTAAACATGTTTTGAACTATGAAATATTTTATTTTTTGATTTGCCATAAACATTTTTATCTTATTCATCCTATTTATAAGAAAAACTGTCAAAAACCTAGCATTGTAGCGGAAATGACGTCATGCTAAGCAAGTGCTAGACAAACCAAGTTCTTGCGCCATAAAGTAGATATTTAGCATGTAACAAATTGTGAAATATTGAACATTTCAAAAGAAATATTGTTGACAAGAAAAAAAGTCCTTTTTATGTCATTTTTTTTTAAATGAAGATGAAAAATATTATTTCGTCTCTAAACTTTTAGAGTGGCTGTTTTTCCCACAGAACCACCGATGTTCAGCATAAGCCCCGTTCACATAGGATTGTTGCAAGCTTATAGCTCGGCCTGTTATGTTGCCAATGATGCCAATGTTGCTTTACAAGCTACAAAATTATCCCCTATAAATATGTAAAGATAGCTGCAACGAAATTATCGCAAACTAAATGAGCTAGAGCCTCGTCAAAAATGTTATGCAAACGCGACTGTTACAAGTTATGGTGCAGCCCTCTGCTCACTGCGTGGTATATACGGCGTGGTATATACCTATATACGGGCTTGGTGGTAAGTAGATAATACTTTTTTTCAGAAAAACCAAACAATATCTCAAAAGCTCTGCTAGCGCGCGGAAGTCCTAACGGAAGGACTCGCGTCTTACAATACCACACGACTTTGGAGCTCCTTGTTGACTAGACCAACATTTCCGTGTGATCTCTCCTTCGCAATTAACAAAAGTTTGTATTTTCCGTCCTGACTCCTGAGACTAACTTCTTTTTGTTCCCCTCCCAGAGCCGTCCTTGCCATGCCTTCAATGCGCTCAGCTGGCAGCCGCTTTCTACGGAACGGTAGTGCGAGTAGGGTGCGTAGCGTACCTAAACAGGCATGAATGGGTGACCAGCGCAGAGGCTAAACCAGACGGTGGGTCAGTCGGCCGACTGGTGGGGCAGGGAGGTGGGAGCGGACCGGGGTCGCTCGGGTCAACAGCCCGAAGCTATGTCTCGGCCAGAAGCCGACTCAGTCTGGCCCGACCCAACCCGGCCGTCCTAAGGCACCGAGACGGATTAGGCATTTTCATGATTGTTACAGGAGTGTTTCGACTTTTTGCTATGCTATCTCAGAACCTACCGAGCCGATTTTCAAAATTCTGAAAAGGCCATCGATAGCGGGTATGGATTTACCAAGTAACCCAGTTGCATTGACCTCGGTCCCAACGATGGAGTTACAGATCACCGCAAAGAAATTTTTCAATAGCCGTTTTCACGACGGCCATCTGGTACCTACACATTTGGTGCACATCTGGACACAGATTAGGTGCAGATTTGGTCAAATTAGGTTCACTGTGTCTCTTAGTAGCTATCAGCTAGGGTTGCACTAATTGCATATATGCCTGCTTTGTCATATTATCAGAGAGTATCATCGATTAAAACACTAAAATAAATTCATAAAATAAAAATAGGTATTTGCTGTAAAAGAGATTAGGTGCAGATTTGGTCAAATGAGGTGCACTCGCCGGATAGCCCGTCGTGAAAACGGCTAATAGGTACTTTTCAGAGCTAGGGGAAAGTGGGGGTAAGAGAGGCACCTTAATCTTGGAGCCATTTTCGGCCGGTTAGAAACATTAGAAACGGGAAACTGAGTGAAAACCTTTTTTAGACATTTTACTTCCATTTGCCGGAAGTTGAGACTTAGACCTGATTCAACAAATAAATTGCAGCTATTTTGCAAAATCTTGCAAAAACCCATGGGGTAAGACGGTCACATGGGTAGGGCGAGACGGCCAGCTTCGTTCACCGACCAGCACAGCTCGCAGCAAATGCCCGAGATTAGCCGCATTGATACAGTCGCTCGTTGGTCTCAAGTGCTTCGGAAATGGCAGCATACGAGTGATTCGTGCAGAAGGTGTATGCTCTATAGGCCCTAGTTCAGAAGCCATGTAGAGCCGTTTTTCACATTCATTATTCGAGAATAAACTGTGCCGAAGGAATATTGCTAACATGTCTGTGAGTATCGGAATCGAACATATTCTTATTAGAAATGCTTCTTTTTTTTCCTACAGCAACAAAAATATTTTCACCATTACAGACCCATTGGATTCATAGTTGCCCGTCTTAACCTCAAACTCAATGTCAGAAGTTCAGCACGATTTTTCTCTGTGGACAATTTGATGCAGACAAAGCAAATCCGCGGTAAATGAACACTGATGGCATATGAGTGTACCACAAGTGATTGCGAGTTTTTAACTCTAGTGCTGCACACAAAATCTTGCACAATACATTATGGATGTTTTCAATTAAATGAGTGCTTTAAAGAAATCAAAACAAAAGATTATGACTGAACACAAATTCACCAGACTTCAATGGTGGTGTGTAGTGGGAAAGGCAATTCTGGTCCTAATTTTTCTCGCTCGTAGCGCTATTGGTTTGGTCTGCAGAAGGGGTGCCCGTCTTACCTACCCTGACCGTCTTACCCCACTTTCCCCTACGTACAGGGTGCGCAAAAAGTTCTGGCACTCTAAGCGCTCCTACGCGTGTTGCGGCTGCTTTTCGGGAAGCCAATAACCGCACGCAATGTCTTCAATGATCCTGCTACACAGCCAGATGTCGAACAAAGCGAAAAATCAGGCTTCCAGCTCTAAAAATGTTAAATGCAGAGCAGAAAAACTACCTGGGGGGGGGGGGATGGCAACCACCCACCCCCATGTGCGGGCGAGGGGATGTAAAACTTTTCAGAATGGCAATGCGGGGTAATTTGGCCGGTGCTAGTGGAGCAGCCTATCGACAAATTGTTTGCAGACATTGGAAGATTACGAGATGTGAGTATTTGAGACCGTGAGTTGATTTATTTCATTGATTGCTAAGAATTTTTAAGTGAAATTAGTCGATTATTTCCTTACTAAAATAAAAAGTTAACGTTTTTCCCAAACAATGCCCTCTCACTATTCACTAATTATTTGGATTCATTGTGAAAATACTTTTATCACAAATGAAATGCAAAGGTTTGATTGAGTAGTGTATGTAAAGGAAGCGCATTTTCAGTTGTGCAGGAAAATGCTGAAATAACCTGAGGCAAAATATTCGAATATAAGCAGTGCGACACCGAGTCAGCCTAAACATGCGCATAGGACACACGCCATTGCTAATGCTGAAGCTGACTCGCCTGTAACATAAAATATACATGGTGTCCCAGAATTACCCGAACATTGTTAAAAAGCGTATAAAATAAGGCAAATATGATTGCGCTTTTTTTCTTTTTATCGTTCTATTTAGTCAACTAGGGTGGCTGTGAAATAACACATGCAATAGATACGCTTGTTACAAGATCAGCCGACAATGATTGAAAATGCCAGCCATTGCTGGTCTCAGTTGTTTGACGGCTCTCCCGAAATTTCGAAACTGGGTGAAGGCCTGTTTTCTTTGACCTGTTGCCGGAGGATAATACGATCATATAAGATAAACTTAACATCAAAGTGTTCCCGGGTCATAAGGCATTATCCCCCAAAGCAAAAATTGCTGCCTACACCACTTTTGCCGCGTTTTTTACATCTGAAGTGGAGAAGCTCCATGTCTGAACATGGCGGGACCTTTGGCTTCCAACAGATTTGGTTTCCAAAACAAACCCGTTCATGGCCATTTGGTTTACGGCATCCAGTTTTTTTACTGGTAGAATATTACTGCAGTAATACTCTGTGGTAACGGTTGTCTTTGGGCCATCATATCAAGCCCAATGAGTGCACGGTGGCTCAAAATGTCTCACAATTTGATTTTCGACGGGTGCCTGGCCGTCTCTGCTGTTGGGGCGTTGTAGCCATCTGACGTTCACACACGCCTTTTTCGGGCGGTTCAAATGACAGATTACCTTCGTTAGACCACAAAGTGTGCTTCAATATAATTTTTGTTGTATATGTTATATTTTTGGGATGAATTGTAGTGATTTTCGCTGTTTTTCCCGTAGTTTTCGCATATTTTTCAGGCGAGGGACCCCAAATTTCAAAATTTTGCGAAGATAGTGGTGGAAAGTAGACTGATGTTCTTTAGATAATCCTGATCTATCGTTTAGCTAGTTTTTAGCTAGATCAGTGACGTTTGTTGTCCATGACAAGCAACCACCCGTTTGACAACTGGTGCATGGCCCTTTTTGGCCGAGCCCAAGCTTGTCAATCAGGTTTATTTATCTCTTGCTCTCTCTGGCTTCGTTAGCTGATATAATGGCGCTTTGCTCTATCCTAACTGCTTGCAGATGAGCTGCTGAAGCTCTCCAGCAAAAACCATGCCGAAAGTCCGTTTACAAAGTTGAAAACGGGAGTTGATTCACCATGGTTGCCTATTAGTGGCTTAAGCTGAAAACGGAAAAGGACTACTCTTACTTGACTCTGGATAATACTTGACTCGAGTCGTTACCAGTCACCAAAAGCACACAGTCCCCAAGCTCGATAGCTAAGGGATATCTTATAAAAGTATGATGCTTGTATACCTATCATCAGTGGCGGCGGATTCGATTTTGGCGTGGGGGGGGGGGGGCAAGATCCCAGTCGAGATGATGTCATAGACGGATCCAGAAAGGCGTTTTCGACGCTGTAGGGGATACCCCCCCAAAAAAGTGTCTAAATTAAAAAAAACTGCTCGGATTCCGATTTCTTTATACTGCTGAACAGTATAAAGCAAAAAATTCCTGATAAAAGATTTATTATTAGGAAACATAAGGTACGTTTTGTCTATTTCGGGCGATGCAGGGGGAGGGGGAGTAATGCTTTAAATGCCCGCTCCCTGGATCCGCCAGTGGACGACGTAACGATTTTCGTATTGCTGTATTAGAAAAAAAGCTCCAATGGGAAAAATTGTGCCATAACCCGATCGCATATCAGATGTTGAAGAACGGTGCCAAA